CTTTTGAATCCACAAACTCTGTCAGTATTTAGACAGGGCCATAAGCAAAGTGGAAGTTCTCTCCTCCCTTTAGAGAAAAGTACCTCCTTCTTTGATGGCCACTTCTTTCCACTGGGATCCCACTCACAGAGATCCTTCGTGTAGAATATATATATATATATATATATTTTTTTTTTTGCCACAGTGTCTTGGCTTTCCATGCCCCTAGCAGTGTCTTAACCGTTGTGCAAAACTTCTGCCTCATTGGCTGCTATTTTAGGAAAATTCTATGGAGTAACGTTTTGCAGCTTTCCTTTTTGGCCAGAATTTGGCTAGCCTAATTTTTGTTGTTTTGCTTGTTTAGTAATTTTGCTCAATATTAAGAGGAGATGGTGCTTTAGTTCTGCTCCACCAATTTACAGTCTTTCCAGTTTGTTTCTGATGTGGTCCTCAACACACACAGTCTAGTCTGGCCCCAAGCACATGGATCAAAGTATCTTCTGGTAGAGACAGATAAGCATGATGATTCAGAAACTCTTTTAAAAATTACACACAAGCTTCCCCTAGAGGAGGAAGCCCTAAGGACTCGGTCTCCTCTGCTATCAATGTCAGTCCCTTTTTTCCTTAGCATAAAATATTAATACTAAAATACTAACTTTCATGTTTAATAAAACATATCTCTCATAGGGTTGCCAGATAAAATGCAGGGTGCAGAATAAAAACTGAGTTGCAGATTGAGTGAATAATTTTTTTAGCTAAGTAGATCCTGTGCAAGAATTGGGACATGCTTATACTAAAAAACTGTTTGTTATTTCTTTGAAATTCAAATTTAACTGAGTTTCTTGCTTTTTGTTGTTGTCTCTTTTCTCCATTAAATTTGGCAAGTCTGCTCCATCACCATCATCTTATAAAAATGTCTTCTTCCTCATATCACTACCATCTTTACTTCTGTTACTAGTAGATTGTTATGTCCTTTTTTTACCCAGCCCTATAATATGTCTTAACTCCTAGGTTTTAGCTATTATTTACAGATGATAGCACATTGTATAGTAGTTAAGCACCATTGGTATATTTATCTTCAGTGACTTGGCACTCAGCCAAGGATCAGAAATAAAAGCACACAAGATAGACTTTGACCCAAATAGATATCATAAATTCCATGCACAAAATGTTCATTTTCTTTATTTATAAATGTTCACATCAGGCTTTTGCTCAAAATCTTTTAATTAGTATTTTTTATAGTAACTTAGAAGACCAAGGCAGAATGGAAGCAGCAGATTAAGGGAACTGGACAATAAATGCCAATAATGGTAGCATAGTTGGAAGAGATAGGAGATTGAAAAAGCTAATGTTCCACTATAGGAGGTTCTGGGACCACCGAGTGCAGGGCAGGCAGCTTATGTGGTGTCAGAAGGCACCACTGTGCCAACTTTCATTGCCATGGAGCTATCAAATTATTTGATGGATTTCATTGGGATGATTTTGGTTAGTAATAGACACTTGATTAACTTTACTTAGGCATTAGGGAATGTGCTTATATTGACTAGTGTAATTGCAATTCAAATTTGATGGGAGTATTCATGATGGCCATTAGCTCAAGTTATATATTTCAAGGCATGGTAACTCCCAGAATCTATACAGGACCTACTTAACTAAAAAAAAATTATTCACTCAATCCACAATTCAGTTTTCATTGTGCACCTTGCATTTTATCTGGCAATACTATGGGGGAAATATTTTATTAAACGTGAAAGTTATTATTATAGTATTAATATTTTATGCTAAGAAAAAAAGGGACTGGGGCCGGCGCTGTGGCGCAGCGGGTTAACACCCTGTTGTGAAATGCAGGCATCCCATATGGGTGCTGCTTCGAGACCCGGCTGCTCCGCTTCTGATCCAGCTCTCTGCTTGAGCTGGGAAAGCAGTAGAAGATGGCCCAAGTCTTTGGGCTCCTGCACTCACTCAGGGGACCCGGAAGAAGCTCCTGGCTCCTGGCTTTGGATCAGCGCAGCTCTGGCTGTTGCAGCCAATTGGGGAGTGAACAGCGAATGGAAGACCTCTCTTTCTCTCTGCCTCTTCTCTCTCTGTGTAACTCTTGACTTTCAAAAAAATAAATCTTTAATAAAAAAAAGGGGGACATTAAGTCTTTAGGGCTTCCTTCTCTAGCACTCTGAGGAAAAGCCTTAGAGTTGAGCCTCAGTGGCCTAGTCTGTATCACATATGTATTCATGAACCAAACACAGAGCCCAAGGATACCGTGCTTTGAATGGGTCCATCTGTATGTGTGCAAGGGTCAAGGCAAAAACATCTGGACATCATGGTATGATGGTGAATGACGACTTGTGTTCCCAGAGAAAAGTTAATGTGCTGTTAGAGAAAAGGAGAGTAGTAGGCAGAAAAATTAGATGCAAATCATAAAGAGCAATTGTGTCACCACTTCATCACTGAAAACCTGTTTTACTTAAATGAGAAAATGATCCCTGGAGAAGTTAAGTGGCTTTTAGATGCAATTAAGTCAACATGTATAAAAATACTTAGTACAGTTCTGAGCATATATAGTAGGAAATCACTTAAAACAACTCTTTTCTTGCTATGCAGTTCATGGCTGTTAGGACTCTCTGTTCCCTCCTCCATTGCATCTCCTTTGCTGATGCCCAGCTGAGAGCTTCATCCCAGACAACTCCGGGACTCTTCAGTCTTCAGCCATGGCTGCTTCCAGTAGTTTGCTGGTGCTGCCACCACAGAGAATCACAACCTGGGTGGCTTAGACCATGGAAGTAGATATTCTCACAGTTCTGAAGCTTGAAGTCCATGATCAAGGTGTCAGTAGCAGTGATTCCTTTTAAAGTCTCCTCCTTGGCTTCGATGGTTGTCTTCTCCCTGTGTCTTCACATGGCTGTTTCTCTGTCACCTTTTCTTTTAAAGACACTAGTCATAGTAGATAAGGGCCTACTCTAATTGGCTCATTTTTAAAAATTAGTTAAAACTCCTTCTGGGCCTCCCACATGGGTGACAGGGACCCAAATACTTTAGCCATCACCTGGTGGCTCCTCCTGGGGTCTGCATTGGCAAGAAACTGGAATCGGAAGTAGAACCAGGACTCAAACCCTGATATGATATGTGGGTGTCCAAGTGGCTGTGCCAAACACCTGCCCACCTCACTTTAATCACTTCTTTAAAGATTCTGTCTCTAAATACAGTCATATTCCGAGCTACATCCTAACTTTGAGGGAATACAATTCACCCACTAACAGTAGGTCTATCAAAGAAAAACATCAAAGTCTCCAAGCTTGGATGGGCCCAGGATGTACCCTATTCTAATGACAACTGCTGGGGTATCCCAGACTTGTTAAATGCCATTGAGTTCATGTTTTCAAAACCAAGCAGGAATGCAAGAGAGGATAGTGTGCATCACCTGTCAGGCCCTATGCCAAGTTACTGGTAATTAACATATATCATGCCCCTAAATCTCAACATTGCTAAGGATGGGGAACTCTCCCAAATCTCATAATCATCTCCATTTTAGAGAAGAGAAAAGAGACATTCAATCAGTTGCTCAGATCATGCACTTGGCTGTGTGATGAATCCAATGTTGAGAGTATGAAGGAAGGAGCATAGAAGTCAGGTGGGTGAAGTAGGCAGAAATCTGATCTGATGGGTCTCCTAATTCCAATCCTTCAGAGAAATAAAAAAGGAAATGCATAGAGGATAGAAGAAGGGTAGGCAAATGAAATAAATAAAATAAATAAGGAGACAGTGCTAAGACACTGGCATCCCATTATCAGCCAGTTCAAGTCCTGGGTGCTCTGCTTTCATCTCCTAATGCATACTGGGAAGGCAGTAGAAGATGGCCCAAGTGCTTACACCCTTACATCCATGGGGAAGACCTGCATAGAATTCCTGGCTCCTGGCTGCAGCCTGGCCTAGTCCCAACTCTTGGGGGAGTGAGCCAGCAGATGGAAGATCTCTCCCTTTCTCTCCCTCTCTCTTTCCAACACTCTGCCTTTTAAATAAATAAATAAATCTTTAAAAAAGGAAGGCAAATGTAAGAAACCCTTTTTATTTTAAAGGAGGGGCAAGTTTGTTTATAAAATACTTTGTTCTCAGGGGGAGCAGGGAAAGGCTGTGGGACAATCAATCTTTCCCATATTAATCTATCAGCCTGTAAAGAAGTTGCATGTTTGTCTGGCAGCTGTCATCTACCTTCTCCAGGCTTTACATCCCATCCTCCCTGGCTAGAGGTGGCCTGATAGATTCTGAAAGGGAGGCCAACAAGGTTCACATCTCATTTTCACCACTTGTGAGCTGTGTGCTCTTAGGCAAGTCTCCCAATCTCTCTGGGGCCTCAGTTCTCTCTGCTGTTAAAAAAAAAATGACGATAGTGATAATAACTTCGGTAAAGGGTGTTCTGAGCATTATAAGTTAATCATTGTGAAGTCATTGTTACAGTGCTTGGAATCCAGCAAACCTCATGGAAAGGTTGCCTGTTACTCTCCCTAGAGAACAATTTCCAAAAAGGCAGGAATCTTCATCTGTGTATGTCTCTGGGGCTTAGAAGTACCTAACAGGCAGGTAGTAGGCGCACATCAATGTTTGCTGTGTGAATGAGTGGCTGCAAATATGGTGGAATCTATGATGAAGGGCGAGTATCTTCTGCCAGCAAGTTTGTCAAGATTTTGTTGTAAATTTTTTTGTTGATTGAAGCAAGAATCCCGGTGGTGGGAGAGAGAGAGAGAGAGAAATGGAGGAGTAGGAGGGTCTTTCTCACTCCTTTCAGTGGCTGGAGAGTCCTAGGTTGACCACGGTTGTTTTCCTCCTGACATTTCCCTGTATCCTGAGGGTGGAATCACTTTCTGTAGCCTCAGAGTTGTGACAGCAGAGAAATCACCAGCTGGCCTGAAGACATTTTAATGGCACTCCAGTGTGTTTAGCGCTTCTGTTTCATTACCACTCTCTGGAATTCCATTAATAATTGTGTTGTCATCAAAATTCCTAAAGTGATTATTAATTTCTCTTTCCAGACTAAGGCTGCATGAAGAAAAGGTTATTAAAGATAGGCGACATCATCTCAAGACCTACCCAAACTGTTTTGTTGCGAAAGAACTGATTGACTGGCTGATTGAGCACAAAGAAGCCTCCGACAGAGAGACAGCAATTAAGCTTATGCAGAAATTGGCAGACCGTGGCATTATTCATCATGGTGAGTGTGGTGGTGGCCGTCAAGGTGACTTGAGTACATATGGAGAACTACATATTTTCTTGAATCTACCCGTTTAGGAAATAAAACGTTTTAGTTTATATTGTCTCTGGATACCTCTCCCCAACTGTATTCCCTCCCTCCCTCCCTCCAGGAGGTATTTGGGGTTATTTCCAGGTACTTCTTAATACTTGTGCTTCTGTGTATGTATCTCTGAGGAACATATCACATTGCTTTAAGTCATTGTGGAAATACTTGTTCTTTTGCAGCATAGTAAACACAGTTTGTGAGATTGATCCATATCAATACCATATCTCTTGTGTGCTCAGTTTTGCTGCTGTCCTGTGTCATTTGCCATGGTCAGTGATGCCTTCATATGTTTACCTGCTCTCCCATTGATGGACATTAAGTTCTTTCCAAGCTTTTGCTTTAGTTTTCAGTGGTTCAGTAACATTCATGAATGTGTCTCCTTAAAAATCTCTCTTCTTGGCCTAGACTGTTGCATATATTGTTACTCTTTGTCCTCAGTTTTGTCCATTATCTAGTCATTCTTTAGATCTCCACTTATATGCAAGCTCTTCAGAGAAGCATCTTTTTCCCAAAGCTGAGCTCCAGGCTTTCTGTTCAGCACCTGAGGAAATGGTGTTCACGTTTCTCTTTCTGTCACCAGATTTCACATTCCTTGAGACTGGTACCTGCCCAGTATCATACTCCAGAAGTGTTTCTGGAATGCATGAGGAGTTTAATTTTGTGACCTTCTTGGTAGATAATAACAATGATGATGATAGAGATGATGGTAATGATGATGGCTAATAATATCAAGCACAGTGCTAAATATGAGCCTTACTTCATATAATAGGCATTTATGAGCTTAAGTAATTAGGTGGTGAAATAATTCTTAATTGGGATTTTACGCCACTTGACTAATTAAATGAGTTTATTTTTCTCATTTACCTCTGTGTCTATTGTGTTTCAGTGTGTGATGAGCATAAAGAATTCAAGGATGTCAAACTCTTCTACCGCTTTAGAAAGGATGATGGTACCTTCCCACTGGACAACGAGGTGAAGGCCTTCATGAGAGGACAGAGGCTCTATGAGAAGTATGTCCCATGAAAAACCCTCTGCTGTGATCTTGACTTGTAGAGAGAAGCAGGGCTATGTCAGTCTTTCTTCACGTTGACTTCAGCCTGGCTCTTCCGTGTGGGCTGGTTACATAACGGTGCCTTTCCATATGAGAAAACTCTATCACCCATTTGTGTTTCTCTTTGCTGGGAATTAAGTAGATTTCATAAGGTTCTTAATCAGGGACTTATTGAAATCATATTTTCTATGTTTAAGTTGAATTAACAAAACTCCAGAAGTGAGAACAAAAGGCTGGGGCTTGATGTTTGCCAGCAAGTGGTACAGATGGCCTTTCCCTCTTTTAAACACTGTTGTTGTGTAACTTGGAGGTCAGTCTGGTAGGTGGTTAGAGAAACAGGGTCAAGTACAGGGGAACCTCAGCTGGAAGTTGAAGATGAGTAGAGAGAGAACAGCAGTAGCAGGACATTTATGAGGAATAATTTTTCAGCATTTCTGAAGAAATGAATATCCCATACCCCAGGAGTATCTGGCCATGGGTCTAAAATTCCCCAAGGTATCTGTCTCTGAGTCACCTGCCACTTCTGTGGCCTCTTTCCCATCCTACCTTGCTGTTTTCTTCCCACAGATACCATTAGAGAAGGAGTGCAGAAGCATTGCACCTCCTCCTTGACATACACTGCCTTACAAGGCTCTAGGAAGTTGAAAAAGTGCATATTTGCCACAGGGAGTGGGACTGGCTGGGGATCCGAGTGGTCAGATTAAGTAGCATGGTGGTTAAGAGCCAGAAAAGCTTGAGTTCTAGTCCTGTCACCTGACTTTTGTAAACCTCAATGTCCTCTTTTGTGACACCTGCTTCCTGGTGCTGTGATGGGAACTGAACAAACTTTATCAAGTGCTGAAGAGTTTAGCTCCGGGTGTCTGGTTGGTAGTAAGACCCCAGAAATGGCAGCCATTCCAGATGTGAACACAACAGTCGTGATCTGCCTCCATTCTGACCTTCCTTGTTTCATGCACTGTTTGCCATCGTTTCTGGAGCTGGTTTTGTCTCATCTCTAAATGTCCCCCTGTGTAGTAGTTCTCCAGTCACTTGTCTTCCATACTGAAGAATCAAACATTCCTCATCTCCCTAACTCCATGTGCTGGAATGGAAGGATCTAGCAAATCTCCATTTGTATACTTAAGTGTGTCTCTTTTGCCACCATTTCCTTGTCCCTTTTGTAAAATTCTAGAAAGTGTTACATATTTCGATTCTCTTGATGGTGCCTTCAAGCTTGAAGATTGTAAGTTGCCAAGATATGCATGTTATTTCTGTGGGAGGGAGCACTTTTTTGTTGTTATTTTTATTATTATGATTTTTAATGCTCTTCATTGGCCACAGCTTATTCTTTGGAATTTGGGTAACCACACTATGGGGCAGGGGTGAGCAGCAATTGAGAATGTCTGGGAGAGAACTGTTATTGCTGATGGTATGGTATGATGTCAAGATAATAAACAAAAAGTGAGGTTTTTTTCACCTTTTAGGAAACAGACTTATGCCAACTTCATCCTGCCTTGCTTGTCTTCTATCCTAAGTGCCTTTTACTATGAAGTGTGTGTCTCTGGACTGTCAAAGCACCCTCTTTTATTAATTCATTCACTAGCCAATAAATGTATATTAAGCCCTTACCACATGCCACTTGCTGTTATGGGTACTGGAGATGTGTTATGAACCAAAGACAGACAAGTCCTTGCTTTCATGTAGCTTGTGTTCCAGTTGGACAGGCAGACTTTAAAGGGCAAAGTACATGCAAGTGCAATGTGGTATATGAGGCATGTGCTTATTGGTGCTGGAAAGAAAAATAGACTTACTGGGAGTGGCAAGGTATTTTAGATAGGGGTGTCAGGGAAGACGTTGCTGAAGAGAGGGTATTTGAATCAATTGAGCCTTTCAGATATCTGGTGGAAGAACACTGTTGGCAGAGGGAACAGCAAGAGCAAAGATTGTTTTGGCAGGAACCTGACTGCTATATTTAAGGAGGGCAGGAAGTAAAGATGAGAGTCAGAGTCAATAGGTAGGGGCTGGTTCATATAGGTTCCTTAAAACCATGGCAAGAATTGATGATTTAGGGTGCACAGTTGGCCTAGTGGTCAAGCAGCCAGTTGGGATGCACACCTCCCATACTGGAGTACCTGGGTTCAAGTCTTGGCCCCACTCCCAGTTCCAGATTTCTGTCCATGTGTACTACGGGAGGCAGCAGGTGCTGGCTGAAGTTACAGAGTTTCTGCTTCCCACGTGGGAGACCTGGAGGAGTTCCCAGCTCCCAGCTTTAGCCTGGCCCAGTTTTAACCGTTGCTGTTATGGGCACTTGGGCAGTGAACCAGTAGATAGGAACTCTTTCTCTGTGCCTCTCAAATAAAGAAATAAATATTTAAAAATAGATTATATTTGAGGTGAACCAGGAAGCCATTGGAGAGAAGGAAGTAGAGGTGTGGCAATCAGAGTTTTTGCAAATGCTCATTTCTTTCCCTAGGAAACCCTTCATGCCCCTGCCACCCCTTCTCCTGGATCTTTCTGTGCTCTTGGCTTCGCATTAAACATGACCTTTTCTGGAGTCCTCCTACACTCCTTCAGGACTGAGTCAGGTGCCAAACCTGCATGCTTCACCCTCAAAGAGCTGTGCTAAAATTTCCTCTTTGACTGTTCACTGCATTCAATTAAGAAGCATAAGGGTAGGGTCTGGCCTACCATCTTGCTTTATATCTCTTATGGCCTGGTCAACATATGGTTGGCCAATTGTACATGGTAAATATCTGGTGAAAACTATGAATAAGCTTTTTGTTGAGGTGATCAATATTGCTGTGCTTTCTCTAGTCCTTGGCATTCATTTCTTTGTAAATTTCTTTCTTCAAACTGCTTGTAAAATTAGCACTACGATAAAAGTAATCTAAGAAGGACTTAACCTTGGATGACCTAACTGCCACTTAGCAAATGCTAGCTCTTACTTTTGGTAGCTGCAGTATGCGTGGAGTAAGTTAGGGATCTTTGGAATTGACTGTTTCAGTTATCTATTTGATCACTTATATTCATGCACTTAATTATTTTTTTATTCAATTTCATTGTTTTTCTAAGCCATCTTTTCCTTAAACTTCACCATGCACTATTTTTTTGTTACTTTTAGATACTTTATTTTTTAAACATTTAAAGGGCCAGTGCCGCAGCTCAGTAGTCTAATCCTCCTCCTGCAGCGCCGGCACACCAGGTTCTAGTCCCGGTTGGGGCGCCGGATTCTGTCCCAGTTGCTCCTCTTCCAGTCCAGCTCTCTGCTGTGGCCCGGGAGTTCAGTGGAGGATGGCCCAGGTGCTTGGGCCCTGCACCCACATGGGAGACCAGGAGAAGCACCTGGCTCCGGGCTCTGGGCTTTGGATAAGGGCGGTGCGCTGGGCGCAGTGTGCTGGCTGCAGTGGCCATTGTAGGGAGAAAAAAGGAAGACCTTTCTCTCTCGCTCACTCACTGTCCACTCTGCCTGTCCAAAAAAAAAAAAAAAAAAAAGTAAATAGTGGGTTCTGTTGATAGTTCATCTTTTCAAGTATTTTACTATTGAAGTTTTTTCCTCCATTCTCTTCATTAGAAAGGCCTTGTTTAGAATATCTATAACATTTGTGATGAAGGTCTTGAAAAATACATGTTCCTTGTAAGCAGGTCCTAGCTAACTCCCTTTTTCTAATCATTGTAACAACTCTCAGTGAGATGCTGTTATTGTCCTAATTTTATAGATAAGGAAAATGTGGCAGAGATGTTAAATCTTTTCCCCAAAGTGATCATATTGGTGCTGGACAGTGAGCCGCCTGGTAACCAGGTTCTTATTTGCAAGAAAGAATTGATGAACAAATCAGGGAACAGCCAATAGCAAGCAGCAGTTTTATTGAGAAAGCTGAATTACACATTCTCCAGTTAAGGTGCAGGCTCAGAGAGGGGAGTGGTCCTGTCTTTGAACTGAGTTTACCACACTATGGCTATGGGTTGTTTAATCAAAAGGGAGGTACATTCTAATCAAGGGTAGGAATATTCATAGATTTTCTGAGAAGCAGGTGGAGATCCTCCCCACCCCTTAATGAGGGAAGCCAGCTACCACTCTTTTTCACTTCTTCTATGGTCTGTTGTTTCTTGTCCTGGCAACTGGTAGGTGTGTCATTTACCATGGCTACTGTATTAAAATGAGAGGATAATGAGGACATATGAGCCTGGTACAGGCAGGGGGTCTGTTTCTCTATAGAGAAAAAGAAACCAGCCCATATCCTGCAGACTTTGAGATAACAGGGACTATTCCCTGGTGACTCCAATTGCTCCCTGTAGCTCCCTGTCTTATTGCTGATAAATAGCAGGTGGAATTTGAACCCAGCACCCAAACCCCAAATTTGTTGATGCTAAACTATTGATAAATCCTTTCAATTTCCTTTAATGCAAATTGGATGAATGAAATCAGCACTTATTTCAAAATGTAGCTTGCCTCAGGATATAACAGGGGATTTGTAAGTTGTCAGGGTTTAGCATTTTCTGGGAAAGTTTCTGAAAGTATACCAAGGTCTCTGAAAGTAGGCATTGGAAACTGAGAGTTCGTTCCTCCTCAGTAGTAAGATCTACATGATAAAACAGCACCTTTTATTTTTAAATGTAGCTCATTTTTAAAACACTTAGGTTATTTTATCTGAACTTCCTTACAAAATCTGTGGAGGCTTCCCTTATCTTCTTGTGTTCAAAGGGAGCCTCTGGAATCCAAATCAGTTAAGTAATTTATGCACAATGATGGCATAGACTGACAGGAACAGAGGCAGACCTGGCCCAGGGTGACAGGTGTGGAGGCCCCGAAGTCCCCACCACTCCACCACTTCCTGCAGCTCTGGGGGGCTGGCTGTATTGTCAGTATTTCCTTTTGCTTCTTCTCTTGCTTGCTTGTTTTATTAATAGGACTTTGTGAAACTCGGTGATTTCTGGCTGAGGTTTTGCTGCACTGTGCTGATTTGGGGGTACATTGGCCTT